TCTGATTTTTCTTTTGAAAAAAACTATTCGAACCCAAATTTTTACCCATTTTTCTCAAAATCATTTTCAATTTCATCATCAACCTATTTTTTTCCTTAATTTCACATTAAATAAAAATTCATTAATTTTTTAATTAGATTTTTTATATATTTTTTAAATTTTAAAATTAATCCCGGACTAAATTTCAGGCCCGGATATTACAAACCAGTCGTTCCCATACCTCGTTTGGTAATGAGTGTCAAATATTCCATCGCCTTGGTACCCCGTCCTGTATGAGTATGAACTATATCTCCCAAACCTTTCAGGTAAGAGACTTCTCAGCCCTGTCTGACTAAGATAACGTTCACGGTAGGATTTCTTATATACCGGACCCGTCCGCCCTTTCCTTGTGTGCTCAGTAAGTCTTTCACATGAAGATTCTCATAGCAAACAACCAACAACTCATACTAATATTTTATATCATATTCACATATCAATTAAACTATATTCAAGTTGACGTTATATAAACAAAATAACCAGATAAGTTGATAAGAGTATTGAACTATAAATTAAGAACATGTGCTATACAAAAATTAAGCAAGTATGACGATACAGAAAAATAGACAGAAAACAAGGCAATTGTGAACTAATCGGTTTTGCCTCTATTAGTAACGTGTAATTATTTTTAAAATTTTCTAATTTTTCCAAAAATATAAAATTATACAACGTTAAGCCGTAATTTACCGTAATAGAGAATAGAGAGAGGGATTCTGGCCTAGATTAGTATTTCGAGATGTCGAGCTATCTACTATACCCCTTAACAGGTATAGAGTTCCCTAAATTTTTCTTGTGAAATTCAAAACACTCGTCACATACCTAAAAATACTCAAATATACAAAATCGGTGTTCAAAACTCATTTTGGCAAATTTTGGGGTTTCGGGATGGTGGCGACGCCGTGCTCCAGCACTGACTCCGTCGCCCACGACGACGGTTCACCTCAACCTAGCCAGTTTTGGCCGGTTTTGGCTGATTTTGACCGATTTTAGCTGTATCCCTACAAAAAATGGATTAGGGGCCTCGATTGGCCGAAAAATCACAAAAAAAATCGAACTTATCGGCGGTGGGACCTCTAGGTGCGACAGCTCTGCTAATCCTCCTTCGCGACTAAGGTTTTTTCTTCGGCTACTCTATATAGAAAAGGATGGTGAATACAATGATCGAAAAATCACGTGAAACGGGACTCGAAAAGGGGTTCATTATAGGAGTTTTAGGATTTTAGCCGTGGCAGCTTCGTCGAACTTTGTCCGTAATTTTCGGCTCACCCACCATTCCTCTTGTTCCAATTTGGCCACATAGGTACTTGAAATCGAATTCTAAGCGAGTAGGGGGAATGTTTACCTTTTTTGGCGGTCAGCAGTGGCTCCGGCATGACGGTAGTAGGTGGTCGACCTCCTTCTTTGGCGTCTGGTTCTTCTTCTCTAACAGGGGTTGTTGGCTACGGCTTAGGTTCCCATGTGATGCAAAGTATTTATAATCATCTCGCGTTGATCTACATCATCCATCGCGATCGATCTTATCCGTCCGATCACACCTAAGGAAGAAACGAATCTGAACTGTTCATCGCAATTAATCTCAACCGTCCAATCACGCCTAAGAGAGAAACGGATCTAGGTCGTCCACGCGTGCGAGATCGATCCTGGGTTGTCCGATCACGGGGCACGCGGATCGCCAGCGCGGCCTCCCATGTGGCACCAACGTCAACGCGCCTTGTCACGCGGCGCGCTCCGGTTCGTCGAACCTACTGATTAGGCGGTTCTACGTGGCCGAACTTTTTCTATTTGTACTTGGACTTCCTATTTTTAATTTTTCTTTCAAAAATACTTTGAGAACCCAAATTTTCACTCATTTTTTTAAAATTATTTTTAATCTCGTTCCTAATTCATTTTTTCTCAAAATTTCACTTAAAAAAATGAAATAAAATAATTAATTATTTTAAATTAATAACTAAAGAATAAAAAAATTTATCTCATGTTATTTTTCGGGTTGGAATATTACAATAAGATTTAAAATGATGAATAACCAACAAAA